CGCAAACTATACATTTTCTGCTTAGTTATATACTTATAGAGAGGTTGAATTCCCATCCTGTACGCTCTTTACAATTTTTGTTTTATCAGATGTATATAGCTATACATCAAAAAGAAATACTGAATTTGATAGCTTAAATATAGTTGACTGGGGAGTTTTTGACATGGTGGGACAAGTATATGTAGAGATAAAGAAAGGAGAGAGTTGTAGAATCTGCCCAGTCAAGGGTTTTTGGCAGTTCGAGTATTTGATATCTTTTGCTGTTTGATGTTAGAAGGAAAGAGATGGGTAAGGAGTTCTTGTTGATGTCTAGTAGGTTCATTTTTTCCTTTTATGCAACGTAACATTGTAACTTCGCTGCAAAGCAGCTCTTATCTTTAGAATACGAAAATCTTCTGTTTTTAGTATGTCTTTCTCTTTATCCCTTCATGGTTTTACCTTTAAGTTAAAATTCATCTCTCTGGCTTTGCTTTGTGGCATTCTGTTTCTGCTGTACGATGATTCTTAAGGAACTCTTATTACCTCTCTGACTCTCTCGTTGCCTATATCTTTCAGCTGATACTTATTATACTCTCTCCACTTGAAGTTATTAGTTGTAACAATGCAAGTCCACCGCTAGCGGATATTGTCCTCCTCGAGGTTTTTAAAACGTGTCTGCTAGGGAGAATTTTCCACACCCTTATGCTTCGTTCCCCTTTCCAACCGATGTGGGATCTCACAACCTACTGCGTCCTCGCTAACACTCATTTTTCTCTCCAATTGATATGGGATCTCATAATCCGAACGAGTGTCAGCAAGGACGTTGGACTTTGAAGGGAGGTGGATTGTGAGATCTCACATCGGTTGAAGAGGAGAACGAAGCATAAGGATGCTGTGTGGAAACCTCTTCTCTAATAGAAGTGTTTTAAATATTGGCTAACAGTGGGCTTGAGAGCTTCTCTCAACAGATCTCCGCAGATCTCAGCTCGCTCAAGCATCAAAATTACCCACATCCCATATCATTTCTGTCTCTGGGGAAGGGAGGACGGACCCATCCTCCAATGCTGATAGGGTGGGGACAATTTAATACTCAGGTGAGGTAAATTATACATTGAAGAACTTTGCACTCAGGGCCAGGGCTTTGTTTATTACAAGTTGATTAATATGTTACTATCAAGACCATGCTGATGCACTAAAAAAGACTCTTGGACCCTAGAAAGTTCAAGTATTCATGGCTTTTACTGGTTTAAACTTCTATGCACATTTGTAAATCAACCACCAACGTCATTTCTCAATGAAAAGGATGCCATTTGATGCATGTGCAACTTTAGCAGCTTTGTAAGTTAATATCAAAGATAATGTACCTTACCTTTATTCCAAGTGTAATCTCTTTTCTGATTTTCCTCTTTGCATGAATTGTCAAATATATGGGCAGGAAAGTGAACAGCACAGGTTGTACTCCTTTTTTCCATGTCGTGAAAATGAACTACCAGAACACACATCCGATGGTGATTGTTGGGAGAAGAATGGAAGTTTATTCGTTTTGTTTGGTATAAGAGATGTTGGTTCACATGTCTTACAACTTTTTGAACTTTGTGTGTCGCCATGTGCGGATTCCTGCCGAGTCATGTCATCTGCGGCAGTTGTAAGCTATGATTGTTGGATTTTTGTGTTAATATCTAAACGGAAATGACAAAAAGGCATAAGCAGATGAAGATGAACACCAAGGAGTGGGCTTTCTAATTCGGAAGCGGAGGTTCCTTGTATAATGCATGATCGAAGGCTGGCTTTTCTTTCATGTCTTCTACCATTTGGATCTTGTGGGTGACAAGTGTCTACACACTGCACATTCCACTGGAAACTGCAGAGGATGTTTGGTGCCTCTGTTGTTTTTTTTTTTTTTTTTTGACTCTTTGCGTATAAATCAATTAAAGATATTTAACTTTTCATTATAGTTTATCATATATATTTGACCTATTTAACCATATGTGTTTGTGAAAGATTGTGTCCATTTTGAAATGACAAAATTAGAAGGGAGTTGGTCGCTAAGAAATTCATAACGTGGGCCATTCTTATCTACACAACAATCAGAACCTGAAGTCCAATATAGCCTTATCCAGATTTCACTCAACTTCAAAACATCCCTCCATCCTTTCCAACCACCAAATTACAAAAACTCTGTTCTTGATCTTCGTCCCCCCTGTATTCAGATTCAGTTTCATTCCTCTGTAAAACATGGCATCCTTGTGTACATTTCCACGTATTTCTTCCACAGAACCCATCAAGCAAACGCCCGCCGCCGCCCCTTTTCCGCCCTCCAATCAGCCGATGAGACCCTCGGCGTTGTCCCTCCGCCAAAGCAGCGGCAAGCACTGGAGAACTTCTACAGTGGTCGCCGCCGTCGGTGACGTGTCTGCCGATGGCACCACCTACTTGATCGCCGGCGCTGTTGCTGTAGCTCTTGTCGGAACCGCCTTCCCTATCCTCTTCTCTCGCAAAGACCTGTAAGCGAAACTTCTAGTACTTCTATAGCCATCTATTTCTGCATTGAAATTAAATTAACAAATACGGTTTAAAGAATACTTCACCATAAATTTTCCCCTTTACTCTGCAGTGGAATTCTGTTCTGCTTCTGTTATTGTCTTTTACTCTTAATTTCAGTTTCAGTCTCACGACATTAATTAAACAAACTACCCATCTGCAATGCTTTAAGAGGAGCTTTAATTTAAATTTCAATGGTTGAGGTTTTAATTGCGGCGGCGGTTTTTGTGGTCTGGTCTACCGTAGGTGTCCGGAATGCGACGGCGCAGGGTTTGTCCGGCGATCGGGAGCGGCGCTGAGGGCTAATGCGGCTCGCAAAGACCAAACTCAGATCGTTTGTGCTCGTTGCAATGGCCTTGGCAAGCTCAACCAAGTGGACAAATAAATTAAAACCTGCCTTTTTTACTATCATAAATTCCATACTTTATTAATGCTGTAATAATCTATTTTTAATATATTTTATTCCATGTACTTTGAGTTTTTGGAAGTGTAATATTTGTTTTTAACCTAACATTTGAATTCGAATTAGTTTTTTTTTTTTTTTAATTATGCTTTGACCGATATATTATATTTAACGTTAAATGACATTATTAATGAGGTCATTAAATAATACTAAAATACTATGTTTCAATCCCTTGAAGAACAATGGTTGCAAGTATTATTTATAATTATTTTATTTTTTATTATTTAAATAATAATTAATAGGCTACTAAATCACATGGCTAATTTCCATGGAAGAAATTCAATTCGTTGACCAAGAGAAGTCAAATCAAACACCAACATACTATGAAGGCATTTGTATGCATGTTTGAAATATGTAAATGTACACTACATCATCAAACTACCTCCTTAACTAATTTTTTTTGCTCGGTTTCTCCTAATTTTATTTAATTATACATCTTTTTTTAGTATAATTTAATAATAATTGACACGTCTTTATCCACTATGTTATGTTAGATTTTAAGACAATGTAAATTAGGTTTTTCTTTTTCATATAAAGGTTATTAACTTCGAGTAAATAAATGTGATAGAGTTAAATTGAGAAGTTTCTCGATTGAGATGAATAATGGTGGAAATTATTTATGGTTAGAAATAGAGAAACAGATACCTAAAAGGAAGGGACAGTCCTTTAAGTGGAGTGTTAAATTAGATGAAAGGTGTGAATAATAGCTTTAATATTAAAGGACCCATCACCATCCTTCTATTGTTCTCAACCCATTCAGCATCACATGTGAAACCACCAATCTTTTAGATTTTTTCTCATATACTTTCTCTAACTTTCCATTTTCAGTTTTTTTTTTTAATATAACTTTAGAAAATAATGAAATAAAAATTCAACTCATAAAAAAAATTAGTATTATATATTAATTAACTTACTTATAAAAAAAAATAGAATTTTATTTAATAAAATTAGTGTTTTGATGTTTTAAGGGATAGAGATTCAGGAGGTTAAATAAAAATAAAATGAATAAATAAATCCACATGAAACTCAAATGAATTGAACATGGAGACGGCATTAAATGCATCTTATCCCCTCACATTCAATACACCATGGTCACAAAATTTCCTTTTTCTTTATATATTTATTTAATTTCAGTTTATTTGACATTTAAGTAAAAGAAAATAATAAAAATGTCAACTTTACTATTTCATGGAATAAAATTGTGTTCATTTTTTTGAAATTCCTTTTTTTTTTTTCTTTGCTCAAATAAGAAGCGATCCCATTATTCTTATAATTATAAAAGTTTTTATACAAATTAATTTAATGAATATTTATATATATATATATATATATTTTTTTTTTTCGTGTGCTTGTTTATTACTTCAGACAAGTTGCAGACACATTTATAGAATACATAGATTATAGGAAAACCGCGTATTGATGAAAACCATAATTAAATATATTTTTAAAATCCTTCCAATTATTAATTTAATGCCTTTGCTGATCTGGCATGCAATTAACGTAACATTAATCTTAAATTGTTCCCACGTGTCATCATCAGCATCGTTTGTCTCTGTCCTTGTCTGTTTCAGTGACCGATTTACTAATTTTGTCTAAATATTAATTTATTGCTCTGCCTCCTTTTAACGTCGCTTCTTCTCCAAGTGTTATTTTCACGACACAGAAATATATATATATATATATATTTATAAATTCACTGAATATTGCTTTATTTCCTAAAATAATAGGGGTAAAAAAAAAAAAAACATCAAGTGTTGCTCTGGTACACTAGAATTATTATTTTTAATTATTCAAAATAATTTCCTCAAATGGGGTAGGCAATTTTATTTTCAATTTTCATTATATAAAAATTTATTGCCTTTTTGTTATTCTTCTATGAAGATAAAATAATTAAATTTTTGTAAAATAAACATTTCAAAACTAATATTAGAATAGAAATTAATAAAAATTAGATCTCATTATTTTTTTATACTTTTCCGTCTAAAATACGATATCAAAAAATACCTGTTTTGACCTTGAAGTTATTGAGAGAGAAGAGATGTAGCTCAATATTACATGGGACAATACAAAATTCGGTTGTCTTGTCTTGCTTAAACATCGTGGTTCTGCACCGAATAGCCACGACCCTCTGGAGATCTCAGCGTGAATTTCTTTGTTCCTTTTTTTAATTTTGGGAATTTTTTTGTTTGTTTTAATTATCGGGATATATATATATATATATAGTTGGATCTTCATCTTCGCAGGGAAAGGAGAAATTTATCGAACGGTTGCAAAGATTTGAGAACACTCTGTTCTCGCAAACAAAAGAAAGCCAACGAAGTTGCTCGGATTTCTTCACTCTGTGCAGCTTCCAACTGCCCCCAACTGTTTTTCGATTCCAATATTCCAGGAAAGAAAAGGAAAATGAGGGATTATTGTATAGCTTTCAATTCCTCAAACCACAAATTTCTCAAATCTTTTTTCCCTTTCTTCCTCTGTATTTTGTTTTCTGTCTTTCAGAATCTCATACTCTGTTCCTCACTAAACCCAGCCCTTCTTCTTCCCCTCAAAACCCAAGTTATTCCGCCGGAATCCATCCGGCGATCTCCTGACAAGCTTCCTTTCCGGCATAACGTCAGCCTCACTGTCTCTCTGACGGTCGGAACGCCGCCGCAGAATGTTACAATGGTCATCGACACCGGCAGTGAACTCTCATGGCTCCACTGCAACAGATCACAAAATTCTTCTTCTTCATCTTCGACATTCAACCCGGCCGGGTCCTCCTCGTACACTCCGATTCCTTGTTCCTCGTCCACCTGCACCGACCAAACTCGGGATTTTCCAATTCCGGCATCTTGTGATTCCAATCATCTCTGTCATGCCACTCTATCTTACGCTGATGCCTCTTCTTCAGAAGGAACTCTCGCCACCGATACTTTTTACATCGGCAATTCCGGGATTTCCAATGTTGTCTTCGGTTGTATGGATTCCATTTTCAGCTCCAACAATGAAGAAGACTCCAAAAACACCGGATTAATGGGTATGAATCGTGGATCTCTCTCTTTTGTATCTCAAATGGGTTTCCCCAAATTTTCCTATTGCATATCGGAATATGATTTTTCCGGTTTGTTATTACTCGGAGATGCTAATTTTTCATGGTTGGCTCCGTTGAATTACACTCCACTCATCGAAATGTCGACCCCATTACCGTATTTCGATCGGGTTGCTTACACGGTTCAGCTTGAAGGGATCAAAGTTTCCCACAAGTTACTTCCGATACCGGAGTCCGTTTTCGAACCAGACCACACCGGAGCGGGGCAAACCATGGTTGACTCCGGCACTCAGTTCACGTTCCTTCTCGGACCAGCTTACACCGCGCTCCGAGACGAGTTCCTGAACCGAACCGCCGGTTCGATTCGGGTTTTCGAGGATTCGAATTTCGTTTTTCAAGGGGCAATGGATCTTTGTTACCGGGTTCCGATGAATCAAACCCGACTCCCGCCACTGCCATCGGTGACGCTAGTGTTTCGCGGTGCCGAAATGACGGTTACCGGCGACCGGATTCTGTACCGGGTGCCCGGAGAAATAAGAGGAAACGATTCGATTCACTGTTTTACATTCGGAAATTCGGATCTCCTCGGCGTGGAAGCGTTTGTAATTGGGCATCTTCATCAACAAAACGTGTGGATGGAATTCGATCTGAAAAAATCCCGGATCGGGTTGGCAGAGATTCGGTGCGATTTAGCGGGTCAGAAGTTGGGTATGGGCCTGTAAATGACCCGGGCCCATTCGATGGAAGCGTTTTAACTATCGGGGTAACTTAGCACGTGATATTGATTAAAATCTTACGGTTTTTGGTGTGTAGTCGTAGGTCCATGCTATTATGGTGGTCCTTCAGCTTTTTAATACCGTCCGTATGTGGGTCCCCTATATACTCTGTGATATCATCAAATAAAAAAAAAAAAAAAAAAAAAAAAAAAAAAAAAAAAAAAAAAAAAAAAAGCGAGTTTGATCCGACGGGTGTAGTGAGTTTGAGTGAGCTGCATTTCGCCACGTGTAAGGAAAGTTTTCTTTTTTTCTTTTTCTTTTTCTTTTTTTCCTCCCTTCCTGTACATTTAAAATATTCATGAGCTTTTTAATGTAATAAAAAATATTATATTAATTATTTATGACACTTTTTGAGACAATAATGGAAGTGTGACCAAGCGACCAAATGTTACAACATTTAATGCAGATGTTGTAAAGTCAATAAAGAAGTTCCCTAAAAAATCTGGAGATTAGAGAGGAGATTCGGAGGTTATGTTAAAAAATCAAACCATTTAATGAACTAATAGAAAATATGTACACAGTTTTATTTTAATTTTATGAAATACTTTTTCTAATTATAAATTGATTCAACAAAATTTTAATATTATGTGAATTAAAGTCAAGCGGTGGGTACAACATTGCATTCCCTCTTAGCTTGTGATTAGAAAGTGGCACCAATGGGAGGTTGAATCCTCCCTCGTACCCCTATTCATTTTAATACTAATAATCATTTTTCACTGTGTTTGTGAGAACCCACGTCAACGACAAGGAACAAGTGCCAACGCCAACAACGACAAGGACGATGAACCCGAATAGAGGTGAGACGAAACATTATTCTACAAGCTTAAAGGATCGATATCCACATTTATTTTATTTCTTTGCGGCCTATGAACATCTGAGTAGTTATGTGTTAAAAGAAAATGTAAAATGGGTTTAGTTAGAACAAAACCTTCAATTTTACTCTAAAACAAAGGTTTAGCAGCAACTACAAGTTGAGGCTGATGGACTCATAAAACATACAACATAACAAAAATGCTGTTAAATTCACCTAATTGACCAAACCCACCCATTGATTTCACCCCCTACCCCTATAAAAATATTTCATTTCATGTCCTTCTCTTCATCCAAACTGAAAATATCAGATTTTTAATTCAAAAAAATGGCTTTTGATTCTCTGAAAGCCACCTTTTACTTTGCCTTCTCTGTTAGTCTTCTCTGCTTGCTTCCAAGCATGGCCGATGCAGGAATCACCAGACACTACAAGTTTCATGTGAGCTTCATTAAAACACTACACCATTTTCCCACTCAACACTACTTATCAAATTGTCTTGCAGATTCAATTGCAGAATGTAACAAGGCTCTGCCAAACAAAGACCGTCGTGACCGTTAACGGGCAGTTTCCCGGGCCTAGAATCATTGCTAGAGAAGGCGATCGTCTCTTAATCAAAGTCGTCAATCGTGTCCAAAATAATATATCCCTACACTGGTACGCTACAACGACACATCCTTGGTTTAAAAAGTTTAAGCTAATAGATTACTGTGCACACTGACGTATTCTCAACAATAGGCATGGAGTGCGACAGGTGCGGAGTGGGTGGGCGGACGGGCCAGCGTACGTGACACAATGCCCAATCCAAACAGGGCAGAGCTATGTGTATAACTTCACAGTAAATGGGCAAAGAGGGACATTGTTCTGGCATGCTCATATTTCATGGCTAAGGTCCACTGTGTATGGCCCAATCATCATTCTCCCAAGAACCCATCAGCCTTACCCTTTCCCTCGGCCTCTTAAAGAAGTTCCCATCATTTTTGGTAAGCAAACTGTTTGAAACTTTTTTAGTTTTGAAGAGATTTGATTGGAATGGGCATTGCAGGGGAGTGGTGGAAGGCTGATACAGAGGCTGTCATCAACCAAGCAATGCAAACCGGTGGTGCTCCAAATATTTCTGATGCTTTCACCTTCAATGGCCTCCCTGGCCCCTCCTATAACTGCTCTGCTCAAGGTACTCTAAATTCATGCCTTAACCAATGCTCAAAAGTACCCATCTTTATCTAAGCAGAGGGGTTGATCAATGCAGATACCTTCAAGCTCAAGGTAAAGCCAGGCAAATCCTATTTACTCCGATTGATCAATGCGGCACTCAATGACGAGCTCTTCTTCAGCATCGCCGACCACACACTCACCGTCGTCGAAGCTGATGCCGTTTACGTCAAGCCCTTCAAAACCAATGTCGTTCTGATCACTCCAGGACAGACCATGAACGTCCTTCTCCACACCAAATCCAACGCTCCCAATGCCACATTCCTCATCGCCGCCCGGCCATACGCCACCGCGCCGGCCGCCTTCGACAACACCACTGTCACTGGTCTGCTTGAGTACGAATCCACAAAATCTCTGTTAAAGAAGAACATTAAGCTCCCTCTTCATAAACCGATTCTTCCCCGGTTCAATGACACGAGTTTTTCGATCAAGTTTAACGGGAAGATTCGGAGCTTGGCGAATTCGAAATTCCCAGCGAAAGTGCCGACGAGGGTTGATCGGAGATTCTTTTTCACGGTGGGATTGGGGTTGCTGCCGTGCCGGAGGAACCGGTCCTGTCAAGGCCCAAATAACACCAGACTATCGGCGTCGATCAATAATGTGACGTTCGTGCAGCCAAACACGGCTCTTCTACAAGCCCACTTTTTTAATAAATCTAACGGTGTTTACACCACTGATTTTCCGGCCAATCCGCCGTTCAAATTCAATTACACAGGTACGCAAATTTATTAGATGAAAAATTAGTAACTAATTAATTAAGAATGGACAGACTTGAAAAAAGAATTCATACTTGGTTGGCTTGTGCAGGCTCGCCGCCGAAGAACTCGATGGTGAGTAGCGGAACGAAGGTGGCGGTGCTACCGTACAACGCCGCCGTGGAACTGGTAATGCAGGACACGAGCATCGTGACGGCTGAGAGCCACCCGCTCCATCTACACGGCTTCAATTTCTTCGTGGTGGGTCAAGGCATCGGAAATTTCGACCCGAACAAAGACCCGGCCAAGTTCAACCTCGCCGACCCGGCGGAGAGGAACACTGTCGGAGTCCCATCCGGCGGCTGGGTGGCGATCCGGTTCGTCGCTGATAATCCGGGGGCATGGTTCATGCACTGCCACTTGGAAGTTCATACCAGCTGGGGGTTGAAAATGGCCTGGATTGTACAGGACGGAAAACGGCCCAACCAGAAGCTCCCGCCGCCACCTTCCGATCTGCCTAAATGCTAAATGTTCGTTTTCATCGTTAGCTTTGAAGTTCATCCCTTTGAATTGAAAGTAGAAGCTTATTGTTAATTTGATTCATCCACTTATTAGTAATGATAATTTTGTCCCATTTTGTATAGTCTTTTTCATGAAAATCAAAATGTATTGAACATTTAGCGATGATAAAATGAAATTAACAATTTTATTCATGAAAATCAAAATCTGTATTTTTTAAATTCAAGGATTAAAGTAATTTAGTGACATATTTTGGGAAAGTTTCGTTGTATTTTAAAAATTAAAGGATATTTGAACATAAATATATAACTTATGATGCACAAACGAAATTTAATATTGAAAACGGAAATATTAAATGATGATACGCAACAAGCTTCCTAACTAAGTAATTTACTGTTCAGTACCCACCAAGAAGGGGACGCTTTCGTTAGAGGAACGATGAAGAAAGCCCAAATTCGTAAAAAGCAAGCCACCGGTACCACTCCGCCCTTCTACATTTAAAGCCTTCTTCCTTTTCTTCTGAACATTGCATTTCACACCCGGATTAATTCCCTCAACATCCGGAGCCGCCGGAGCCCTGCCGCCGGTGGGTCTCCCTCCCTCGCTTCCCCAGAAGATGAAGCGGGGCTTTACCATCTCTCCTCCTGTCGCCGTCGTCGTCTTAGCAATCTCCTTTATCTACTTCTCCACCGTCTTTATATTCATCGACCGGTGGTTTGGCCTTATAACCTCGCCTGGAATTATGAACGCCGTCGTCTTCACCGCCGTGGCTCTCATGTGCATCACTAGTTACGCCCTTGCTATCCTCACGGATCCTGGTCGGGTCCCTTCGACCTACATGCCTGACATTGAGGATTCCGAAAACCCTATTCACGAGATCAAGCGTAAGGTACCCATTACTCGTTGTTGCCTTTGCTTTTATCTTTTTCTCTGTTTTATCTGGTCATTACGATCTTTCACGGAGTTCAAGCTATTTGATTTGTGGTTATTAGAGTCTTTTAAACAACGGCGATGTAGATCCTATTCCCTCGATCTCATTCTGATCGTGTTTTGGAATTGAAGTTGAAAAATCTTGGTTACCCCCATGGTATTGTTATCTGCCATGCCCAATTAATAACTTGATCCTCTCTCTCTTTTCCGGTTCTAGGTGAATGTTGTTGTGTTTTTGTTTGTGTTGACCAGTCAATCGCTATCTTGTTGGGTAATGAGGAACCGAGAATATGAATAGCATTCTTCTATGAGACCTCTTGATCTACAAATTATATTAAGGCTGATGGATTCGTAGAATTTGATTACATATCAACAAAACTAATTGATTTAGGAAATATGATCGAATATTTTATCAAGTGTTCCCCGTCATTATAATTAACTTTGAAGAATTGGATCATATCGATTATATTGCAGGGAGGTGACCTAAGATACTGTCAAAAGTGTTCTCAATATAAGCCTCCTCGTGCACATCATTGCCGAGTTTGCAAAAAATGCATTTTGCGAATGGTATGTATCATTGTCTTTATACAGTACCCTACCGCTTAAAATTTTATGTAGATGTTATGCTAAAGGTTGTTTATAAACTGTAAAGGACCACCATTGCATTTGGATAAATAACTGCGTCGGCCATGAAAACTATAAGGTGTTCTTCATGTTTGTTGTGTATGCTGTAGTCGCATGTATCTACTCCCTGGTAAGTCATTTGATGCAATGTGATTTAGACTTCGGGATTCCTCCTTCGTTTCTTTTCTGGCCAGTTTCTTTCCTTGTGTTTTACTTATTGAAGTAGTTGCATGCAGGCATCCTCCTTGCATTTAAAATTTGTTTCATTGTTTGCTGAATCTTCAGGTATTACTCATTGGCAGTCTTACAATTGATCCT